AATGGGCAAAGTTCTTTCACCCTGAATGCCCTGTTACCTAGCAGTAAATAGGTACCTGGGAGTTAGTCAGCTGTCACGGGCTGCTTCCTGGGGGTGGAGGCCTGCTCGAGGACCGGGCCGCGGGGACACTAAAGCCCCGAAATCATCTCAAGATAACCCTGAGTCTCTGTTAATCACCCTCCTTCTTCTTCACATGTTGTAGCTGTTGCTGAAGGGGATTTTGGAGAGAGGGGGGGTTCGTGACTCGCATCTTTTAACGTTAAAACTTGTTCCTGTGAAATCCCTTGCTGGTAAATGTGTTAAAACTCGGTTGCGACAATTATCCAGGATTATCCAGGAGGATTTTAATAGGATCAAACACTGTATACGGAGACGGACACCATATCTCCATCAACATTGTGTGTGTGTATGTGTGTGTGTTCCAACACCATACACACTCTTGGGCAAATACTTTACGGCTTCAGTACCAAATGTCGATTTGCAAACTCACTTTTGGCTTTAACTGATCGATAATACCACATAAACCACATCAACATATGTTGGTTATGTTGCCTTGTAGTTGCCATACAGTGAGGAAGCTGGCTACGTTGCCTGTGGTTGCCATACCGTCAAAACCCGCGCCAGTAACGCGCTGATTGATTGATTGATTGATTGATTGATGAAGATTAAGCCACCCAAAAGGTGGCACGGGCATGAATAGCCCGTAAGTGGTGGCCCTTTTGAACCATTACCAGTATCAAGAGATGATACTGGAGATCTGTGGAGGTGCGACTGCACCCTGTGTGACGGGAGATGTCTCCCGTCTAACGCGCTGGTACAGACAGCGCAAATGTAGACAGGAAAGGGGAGAGGAGGAGAAAAAGAAGGAGAGGAGGAGGAGGAAGAAGAGAGAAGGCACGAGGAGAGTGTGACAACAGCACATGTAGAGGAGGAGGGGTCGGGGGCGCCAGGAGCCCGGGGGATACGAACAGGGAGCGAGCATGCAAGGTACCCACACTGAAGCCATCGACCACCAACACCACTCACCGCTAATGTCTTCATTTAATGCCCAGGTCTTTTGACCCTTACTCTCGCTTATGTTATATTGACCTTGATTGATTAAGATTAAGCGACCCCAAGAGGTGGCACGGGCATGAATAGCCCCTAAGTGATACAAAAAATTTTTGGTAGTAAATGTGTCTTATCCCCTTTACAGCGTGAGCGACTGTCGCCGTCGCGAGGTGGAGACAGCGTGGGTCTGTCTGTGGTGGCATCTCAGGGGTGCGGGGAGGTGTGCCAGGGGTGCCACGACGTCATCGCTGACCGCTTCCTGCTGAGGGTCAACTCTCGCTCCTGGCACCAGACCTGCCTCAGGTGCTGCGTCTGTCAGCTCGCCCTCGACCGTCAGCCTTCCTGTTTCATCCGTGAACACAACGTGTACTGCAAGACTGACTACACCAGGTGAGTCTCCTGGCCTGCTGGGTAATACACCAGGTGAGTCTCCTGGCCTGCTGGGTAATACACCAGGTGAGTCTCCTGGCCTGCTGGGTAGTACACCAGGTGAGTCTCCTGGTCTCCTGGGTAGTACACCAGGTGAGTCTCCTGGCCTCCTGGGTAGTACACCAGGTGAGTCTCCTGGCCTGGTGGGTAGTACACCAGGTGAGTCTCCTGGCCTGCTGGGTAATACACCAGGTGAGTCTCCTGGCCTGGTGTGTAGTACACCAGGTGAGTCTCCTGGCCTGCTGGGTAGTACACCAGGTGAGTCTCCTGACCTGCTGGGTAGTACACCAGGTGAGTCTCCTGACCTGCTGGGTAGTACACCAGGTGAGTCTCCTGGCCTGCTGGGTAATACACCAGGTGAGTCTCCTGGCCTGCTGGGTAGTACACCAGGTGAGTCTCCTGGCCTGCTGGGTAGTACACCAGGTGAGTCTCCTGGTCAGGTGAGTCTCCTGTCTCCTGGGTAGTACACCAGGTGAGTCTCCTGGCCTCCTGGGTAGTACACCAGGTGAGTCTCCTGGCCTGGTGGGTAGTACACCAGGTGAGTCTCCTGGCCTGCTGGGTAATACACCAGGTGAGTCTCCTGGCCTGGTGTGTAGTACACCAGGTGAGTCTCCTGGCCTGCTGGGTAGTACACCAGGTGAGTCTCCTGACCTGCTGGGTAGTACACCAGGTGAGTCTCCTGACCTGCTGGGTAGTACACCAGGTGAGTCTCCTGGCCTGCTGGGTAATACACCAGGTGAGTCTCCTGGCCTGCTGGGTAGTACACCAGGTGAGTCTCCTGGTCTCCTGGGTAGTACACCAGGTGAGTCTCCTGGCCTCCTGGGTAGTACACCAGGTGAGTCTCCTGGCCTGCTGGGTAATACACCAGGTGAGTCTCCTGGCCTGCTGGGTAGTACACCAGGTGAGTCTCCTGGCCTCCTGGGTAGTACACCAGGCGAGTCTCCTGGCCTGGTGTGTAGTACACCAGGTGAGTCTCCTGACCTGCTGGGTAGTACACCAGGTGAGTCTCCTGGCCTGGTGTGTAGTACACCAGGTGAGTCTCCTGGCCTCCTGGGTAGTACACCAGGTGAGTCTCCTGGCCTGGTGTGTAGTACACCAGGTGAGTCTCCTGGCCTGCTGGGTAGTACACCAGGCGAGTCTCCTGGCCTCCTGTGTACTACACGAGGTGAATAAGTACACTTCCATAGTCTTATTCACCACTGTGTCCACTACTCCACATTATGACTCAGGACTTTGTGTCCCCAACGACATCTTTTTCTCCAATATGTTACCATACATTTCTTCTGATCCTCACGGGATCCGGTCGGCCGAGCGGACAGCACACTGGACTTGTGATCCTGTGGTCCTGGGTTCGATCCCAGGCGCCGGCGAGAAACAATGGGCAGAGTTTCTTTCACCCTATGCCCCTGTTACCTAGCAGTAAAATAGGTACCTGGGTGTTAGTCAGCTGTCACGGGCTGCTTCCTGGGGGTGGAGGCCTGGTCGAGGACCGGGCCGCGGGGACACTAAAGCCCCGAAATCATTTCAAGATAGCCTCACTGAGTATCGATTTAACACTCTGCCTTAGTTCAGGTCGGGAGAAAAGACTTAGGGACGCTGGGAGCGAGCGAGAGGTTATCAGAAGATGGCTGAGAATGGCTGAGTTTATCACTAAGCTGGGCAGAATGTGTAGCAATGTCACCACTACCATCACACCACCTCCCTATGACGGTCACCACACTGCACAGTCACTACGCCTCACCACCATCACCATCCTTTGGTCACGATCTTAGCAGAGTAGGCTACACGAACTAGTACACCCAACCTACCACCCCTTGGTCATGATCTTAGCAGAGTAGGCTACACAAACTAGTACACCCAACCTACCACCAGCTTGCTTCGTGATTAATATTATCACCATTCTCCTTCCCCCCACCCCCCCACCCTCATTCTACCTCCTCCTCCCCACACACCCACATAACCCCCTTCCCCCCACCCACTCCCCCACCCCCATCCACCCCCAGGACCCGTCTCTCACCCCCCCCCCCGCAAATACAACTAGATGTATACAACTAGGCCAGTACTAGAAAATCCCCCTCCCCCTCCCCCCCTCCCCCCATTTCAATAAATCCTCCCAATTCCTATTTCAATGCCCATTTAAAATCTCCAATCACCACTAGCAGCTCCAACAATTCTCGACAAAGATTGCCAATGTGGCAGTGAGGAAAAATAGAAAATATGTGGAGGAGGGGGAGAGGTGGAGGAGGGGGGGAGAGAGAGAGAGGAGGGGGTGAAAGAGGAGGGGAGAGAGGTGGAGGATGGGGAAGAGAGAGGTGGAGGAGGGGGAGAGAGGTGGAGGAGGAGGGGGGAGAGGTGGAAGAGGAGGGGAGGGAGAGGTGGAGGAGGGGGGGAGAGAGGGTGGAGGATGGAGAGAGAGGTGGAGGAGGGGGGGGAGAGGTGGAGGAGGGGGGGGGAGAGAGAGAGGTGGAGGAGGGGGGGAGAGGTGGAGGAGGGGGGGAGAGAGAGAGGTGGAAGAGGAGGGGAAAAGGTGGAGGAGGGTGGAGAGAGGTGGAGGAGGAGGGGGGACAGAAGAGGAGGCGAGGGTGAGGGAGGCCAAGATGGCCGCCCAGAACAATTCCCGCCTTTCTCTTGTCAAAACGAGAATGCAGCGGACAGTTTAAATAATGATGGCGCGGTTACATCTCCTCCTCTTATCAAATCTATCGCTCGTTCAGGCTATTTGCGCTAGCCAGCACCTCCTCCTCCTCCCCCCTCTCCCACACCTCTATCACCTTCCCCACACCTCTCTATCCCCTCCCCACACCTCTCTATCCCCTCCCCACACCTCTCTATCCCCACCCCCACACCTCTCTATCCCCACCCCACACCTCTCTATCCTCACCCCACACCTCTCTATCCCCACCCCACACCTCTCAATCCCCTCCCCACACCTCTCTATCCCCTCCCCACACCTCTCTATCCCCACCCCACACCTCTCAATCCCCTCCCCAAACCTCTCTATCCCCACCCCACACCTCTCTATCCTCACCCACACCTCTCTATTCCCACCCCACACCTCTCAATCCCCTCCCCACACCTCTCTATCCCCTCCCTACACCTCTATTCCCACCCCACACCTCTCTATCCATTCCCCACACCTCTCTATCCCCTCCCCACACCTCTATTCCCACCCCACACCTCTCTATCCCCTCCCCACACCTCTATTCCCACCCCACACCTCTCTATCCCCTCCCTACACCTCTATCCCCTCCCAACACCTCTCTATCATCTCCCCACACCTCTTTACCCCCACCCCACACCTCTCTATCCCCTCCCAACACCTCTCTATCATCTCCCCACACCTCTCTATCCCCTCCCCCCCCACACCTCTCTATCCCCTCCCCACACCTCTTTATCCCCTCCCAACACCTCTATCCCCACCCCACACCTCTCTATCCCCTCCCCACACCTCTCTATCCCCTCCCCACACCTCTTTATCCCCTCCCAACACCTCTATCCCCACCCCACACCTCTCTATCCCCTCCCCACACCTCTCTATCCCCTCCCCACACCTCTATATCCCCTCCCAACACCTCTATCCCCACCCAACACCTCTCAATCCCCTCCCCACACCTCTCTATCCCCTCCCCACACCTCTCTATCCCCTCCCCACACCTCTTTATCCCCTCCCGACACCTCTATCCCCACCCCACACCTCTCTATCCCCTCCCCACACCTCTCTATCCCCTCCCCACACCTCTCTATCCCCTCCCCACACCTCTATATCCCCTCCCAACACCTCTCTATCCCCTCCCCACACCTCTATATCCCCTCCCAACACCTCTCTATCCCCTCCCCCCACCTCTTTATCCCCTCCCAACACCCCTATCCCCACCCAACACCTCTCAATCCCCTCCCCACACCTCTCTATCCCCTCCCCACACCTCTCTATCCCCTCCCTACACCTCTATCCCCACCCCACACCTCTCTATCCCCTCCCCACACCTCTCTATCCCCACCCCACACCTCTCAATCCCACCCCACACCTCTCTATCCCCTCTCCACACCTCTCTATCCCCACCCCACACCTCTCAATCCCCACCCCACACCTCTCTATCCCCTCCCCACACCTCTATCCCCACCCCACACCTCTCTATCATCTCCCCACACCCTCTCTATCCCCTCCCTACACCTCTATTCCCTCCCCACACCTCTCTATCCCCCTCCCCACACGTCTCTATCCCCTCCCCACACCTCTCTATCCCCACCCCACACCTCTCTATCCCTTTCCAACACCTCTCTATCCTCTCCCCACACCTCTCTATCCCCTCCCCCCCACACCTCTCTATCCCCTCCCCACCCCTCCTACCCCCCCCCCCCCCTTCCGTCTCCCTAACACCTCAACCTGCGGTATCTGGCAACCCTCTCGCTCCACGGTTGCCAAACACTGCCAGACGAGAACAAATATATTCCTCAATAAATCTTACTAATTCTTCTAAATCAATTACAACACTATAATACACCATATATAAATTTGTAGTTCCTAAATAATAAAAATAAGTTGATGTGAAATCAGATAAATTGTGCAGCGCAGTAATTTTAAATTGCGAAACCTTTCACCGGCAATTAGATCCAATTTGTCAAGTATTAATTCATGAACTCTATTGATAAATTGATTCTATAACAGCCGTCCTCTCACAGCTATAAAGTGACTTAGCATTTTGTTAAAAAGATATACTGGTGCAAACTTGGCTTTTATTACCTCGGTAAACAATAGCGCTAAATAAATTATATTAATCTGATGCGAAAGGGATATCATTTAATATTTTCCCGCGCTTTCTACTACAATTTTTTTGTTTACATATTCACCTTGAATAGATATAGATATATGTGGTGTTGATACAGGTACAATAGATGTTACAGTTAAGTGTTACAAACTCCCTGTTTCTGTAAAGTGTTACGAGTTCAAGTATGTTTATTGA